TGTGTAATAAAATATAACTCACTGTTTATTGTCATAAGGTTCAAATTGGTCCCCATTATCATAATATTCTTCATAGTAAGTCGGTCGATACAAAGTTGGTTGTCTTTCCAAACTTGACCTTCGATCTAAAATTATAAAAATAATAAAACRCCTAATGTACAATTAAATTAATAAAGTTTAACCATACTTTTATTTGTCTTTCGTTGATGGTATTTAGAAATATGCTTTTTACAAGAATGTCTGGAAGAAGTGGGAAATTGTTCTTGGTTGAGGAATGTTGTTGAAGACCCTTCATCATACCATTCACTAGTTCCTATTTTATAGTCATTTTTTCGTCTGAAAATCATTATTCATTATCAATAAAATATTAGAAATAAACATSCTTAGACCATTAAATTTTATTACCTTTTGTGGTCTTTATAATTGTTTGGCCTACTGTTATAATATAGATCATCTTCTGGAACTCTCCTTTCTTCATATCTTTGAGAGTCATATAAATGTTGATTACCCACAGAGTTTTCTAAAATTATAAAAAAGTATATATATAAATAAATAATTGTTTTCATTTTAAAATCAGACAGCTATATGTCATAATCATAATATAATATTATTTAGTATTATTTATCATTTTATAATACAATTTAAAACAATTTTTTTAAGTAAAACTATATTAATTAATATTATAAGTGATAGACTTATACGAAAATTTCAACAAAGCTAAAATCTATGGTAGTTAATATTATTATGTGAGATTTAATAACARCAGCTGTTTAAATAGATAAGTTTGTTTAAAATAGTCTAAGAGTTATAAATTAGGTATATAACGAGTTGAATGCAAAATTTAAGTGATAATAATATAAGTTTACAAACTAGATTAGCAACCTGATAAAAAATATTTGTTGTATATATGAAATATAAATTCAAAGTTTTGATTTGAAATTTCACTGAAATTGGATGAATACAAAATTATTATATTTTCTCTAGAAGAAATATAAATAATATACTTTCAAAATTTATAAAACTAGTTAAGAAATATAATAAAATTTAAATATACAACGAATAAATATGAGAAAACCARACGTTTACTGATAACAATAATACATTTTATTTAAACTTTAAACTAAATTATTTACTGAAATAGGTCTTTTATAAAATAATTTCTTGGGAAAAGACGAAATRTTGCGAATGCACTAAAAATTTAGAAAAAAAAATATATTGCGTTTGTAAAATATGATTTATTTTCTACGTTAAAATGTATAATTTATAAATATTAATTTCATGAGTTTTCTGATTTCCTACTATTAAAGAACATTATTACAAAAATTTTAATTTTGAATTACTTGTACTTGGATGATCTGGACTACTGCAAGGACTCATTTCTAATTGATCGGCAAGGTTTCTAAATTGAGAGGCTGAGGAATTTGCTTGTTGCTGACATATTGGATAGTTAAAATCACTTGTATAATCACTATCTTCCGAATTACCAGCTGCTGAAATAAAATATTAAGCTGTGTATTTATCTCGTTACATACTTAAAAATGGCACTACTTACACTGCCCATAATATTGAAATTGTGCCGAAACGTCTTCGGACCTCGAATCCTGTTCGAAAGTGTTCAGGATTTCAAATTTTTTCTGGTAATCCACGATATCACAGATTTCATCATTGTCTACACACAATAAGTCTTGACATATTATTAAATTATTATTTTTTGTATAATTTTACCCGATAACCCTGGAATTACCAATGAGGGACAACATATTGGAAAACTTTTTAGAATTTTCCCCTTTTTACTCTCAAAAACAAAATATTAGYTGTCACAACTAGTATTCATTAAATTTGGGTATCGATAAGGTTCCCAATCAAATTTGTCAAAACTTATTTACACGCGTAGAACAAAAATGGTGGAAATTGGATCTATATCCGAAATCCCTCGAGTTTGCTTCCCTGGCACGTATGATGGAGTTKACAAAAACAGGTACGACCTTATTTATTGAGGGATAAAAAAAACTTTCCTCTTCTAGGTTTATTTTACTATCAGTATATCGCAATAATGGAGCAACTCTTTAAAAGCAAACATTTTGATGGATCGACAAATACAAAAAAAAAATAGTTGAGTTATCTTAGCCTATTCACTCATCCAACATTAATGCGAAGACAGGAAAATCACTCCACCGTTTAGTAGCTAGTTTTCATGTGTACCTCGAATTAAGTAAGTCACTTTAATTGATATGATAAATTTAAATGCATCGATAAATTATTATATTCAATGAAAATGATTCAGATCAAAGACGGTCTATCAGAGTATGTTTCTAAGGGTGTTTTGTTAATTTGTTATACAAAGTGTCCCGCGAGGATTTACCCATTTCAATAATTCCTGAGATAATAAATATATCATAAATCTGTTTTTTTCATTAAACCCACATATAGACAAGGGCTGCATGTATTTTATTTTTTAATTTAATTTATTTTTTGGTAACAAAGTTTAAAAAAATTATTTTTAATTTTTAAACTTTTGAAAAAAACAGAGATGCCTATTTTATAGATTTTATTTTTTTGAAAATTTTTACCTTTCAACATCTTATTTTCATTAATCTCACGATTTTTAATAAATTTTTTAGTTTATAGATAAAAAAGCAAATACTGATTTTTGTAATAATTTTCTGCTAATGGGTATATCCTCACGGGACACTGGATTAATATTAGTACGTTATTTTATTGGTTATAGTATTTATATATTTTTTAATCATTTTTATTATATATTATCCATAATCTATTTATACATATATATATATAATATTATGTACAATATTTACAAAACGTCAAAACTTTATTGTAATTTAGTATTTTTTCTTAATAAATTTGCACTAAATTTGCACTTCTCCCTTAAAAAAGTTGGATCTTATAAATATAAGTTATTGGCAAATTTCAGCAAAAATAAATATCTATACATATTGRCACTTAAACAAATACATCATATTATCTCAATATAAAGATTCAAAAATAAYTGCTTATATTCTATAAAAAGTAACTCCATAGTATTGAAAAAATAGATATTTTAAATTGAAGATTAGCCAACATAAAGTTTAACTGTTTGAAATTTTCGACGTTATCATTTAGGTACTAGACATTATTATAGTTTATATTTTATGACATTGTACCTATACAAGGAATAGTAGGTACCGTAACGTAACATTATTATTATAATTAGATGACGTGCTAAGGATAATAAAATAAAATCCATGAAACTAGAAGCCATTTAGAATAAACATTTTGGTATATTTTTTTCCCCCAAAAAGTCACGAGAACCTTTCGCATCCCCGTTTTCACATTCCCAAATAGTGTACGTGTACACATAAAACAATATTTACGTGGGTGCAAAGATATAAGGTGGATTAGCAATATTATTTCTAATCCACTGACGCCTGATAATCGATAAATGTGTCCACGATAGACAATTGTAGCACTACAATACTACATTGTCATCTAGACACAATTCTATAATATATATATATTATTATATGTGTGAAAGTGCGTGTGCATGTGTACGTGTGTGTGCGTGTGTATGTGTGTTTCTGTGTAAGCATAAAATAAGGTATAAATATAATATGATATGCACTGCAGATAATATTATGTAAAACAAGAAGAATSAAGTACATATAATATGTGTTACGTAATATTATATTAGAACAATAATATGTATATAGTAGGTAGCAATATAGGTATTCATAACATTCATATGAGGTGTTGGTATACCCAATAGGATTAAAATTCAAGCGACAGAGCTACAGTAAAGTATGTGTTTGTTTGTATTGTTCCGTGTACAATTAATAGTTAATACTGTATAATATTGGTCATTGGAGTATAGTTTTTGATAACCAATGATGTAAATACTTWAAGTGCACATCGTTCAAAAGCATTGATCATTTCGTGGAAATGTGGGTGATTAGAGCAGGTTCAGGTTTAATAATGTCGGTCCAGATGCAAGGAAAGGAGATGTTTGGTTATACGGGGATGACAAATTATATTTAAAGCAACATTATCCCAGCAATATTTTGTAAATTAAAAATAATATCATACCCATAGGTATTATGTAGATTTATGCAACGTAATATATTTACAATGTACTTAACGATCCAGTTCAATGTTATTGATAGTAACACACAAGAAATTAATAAAAGAAAAATAATAAATTTAAAAAAATCATTGAAGAAAGAGCATTGAATTAGGTTCGAGAAGAATGAAAGATTCGAAAAAACAAAAGTTAACTTCATACAAATTCAAATGGGTGTCATCATTTCCATAATCATTATTACGGCTACCATTGTAATATTTTAATAGTTTAGTAAATTAATATGTTTCTTTATAAAATAATTTAAATGTTCTCTTGTTAACCTTTACAAATAATAAAAACGTAGTCGAAGCAAAGCAAAATAAGTAATTTATATTTGAATCGATGTATAATACAAATAAATATATAAATGAAAAAATAGTTAGTTATTAATAATTATTAAATTATATTATTTTCCGTTGAATTCCCATTAAATTTCAACAATTCATCAAAAAAATTATGCTTATTTTTTTATGTTGCATAAATAATTCAATATTTTTCAGAAAATTGTACTGAAATATCTTAAGAACATATGAATTACCTTTGAATCGTTTTCAATTAATATTCATTTATTATCATGGTGTTTGACAAAAACATATTTTCTAAATAATTTTAAAGTTGTATAATAAAATTACTTCAATATTCATAAAATTTATTAAAACATTTTAAATAGATATTTTTAATTACATGTCGTTTGGCAAATTATTTTTTTAATACAACGAACTAGACAAGTTCTATTGAAGAAGAAATTTATAAGTAAATTTGAATGAATTTATCGATTAATTTATTTTATATTTAAAAATAATCTCAAATACGATTTTTATGCAACATTAAAATTCTTATTTTTACTGCACATACTTTTAATAAAAATGTTTAAACTCAATTCGTTTATTTTATAAAGAAACAAAAAATCCAATAAGTATACTATRTATACATTTTTATTAATATTTTAAGRCAAAATATAAAATTATTACCAACGCGTAAAAGTAAAAACGATCATAATTTTAATTTATTTGAACATGCTTGCGATGTTATTGCTGATTCGGTATATTTTTGTATTTGGAATGTTCACAATMAATTAATTTACATAAGTTGCAAATAGCAACACCCATTTGATTTTATATTTCATAGGTCAATTATAGAATAAAGGTGAAGTGTTAGAGAAGAACCATGCTTTCGATAAAGCCCAGACAGACGTGCGAAACSTTTAAGTGTTCGTATATTTCATTATTATACCTCCTGATGCAATGGCGCTCGGCGGAGCTGTGTTGGAATTATCCAGCTCTCCTAAGATTTCTTTCCAACCAGTCGGTGGATCGTAAGGGCCTAAAATTTGAAAAGCATCATGATATCGCACATGATTCTAAATTTTTATTTTTATTTTTTTTTTAAATTCCATGTCGTTCTTCTTGAAATAATGACTCGCAGACATTTACCGATTAGATATATTTTAATACGGTAACACGGGTTCGGTTTGAAAAAAAAAATAACTACGTGTTGTACACTTACCAAAAGGTAGTTCGAACCTAGCATCTATTAATAGATAATGTCCTGTCGGACACCTGGTTCCGGTCACTTCTCCGTCGCTCATTTCGAGTTCAGCATCTAGCGAAACCCAATCTCCTTCGCCATCCTGTGCAATACATAAAATTCTTTCAATCACTATGATAACATTGCAAAAACGGTATTATAATATTATACATTATATTGACGAGATTGTTGTTTTATTACACAATAACAACAAATATAGGTACATTTTTGAAATGAAACTTCTTTAAAGTTCTGACACGCTGCAGCGATGGCGGTGGCGGTGGCCGTGAAAATGAGTGAGGACACGATTTATCGTCACCTCGTCATCGCTAAGACAAAAGAATTTTACCGCCACCGTTGCAGTACACGAAGACTTTTGTGGAGCGTGCATGTGTGCAACGCCGAAAAGTTTTGTAATAAAATTATGCTCACGGCGCGAAATTAAAAGTGCTACCAACCGAATGTGAACAAAATGTTATTATTCACGAAACGGTCACTCTAATTAATTATTACTGACTTAATATTGTTGATAATATATATCGCGAACTTGAACCTAAAATCCCATCAATTCCTTAGCGAGTCCTTAGTGCGGCATTGTTCATTTTCAGGAAAGTCCATACATCACCAAAAACTGCCAAAGAAACTTCATTTCATCCACGCGTACACACACTTTATTACGGTTGTGTAAGTTATTCAAATGAAATAATTTAGCGAAAATATCCATAAAATAGATATTAAACCGTAAATACATTTTCTTATTTAACAGAAACAAGAATCGCAATAAAATAATACTTTAGAACTCGAAGAGAGAAGTGATATATTTTGTAGTCGTGTAGTTGTAAATGATTATAGTTATTATTGCGCTATCAATCTCTATTTTTAAACAATGTGACACCACAAATAACCACATCGCTCAACAATTCACACAGAAAAAACATTTATGTTCACTGAATTTCCTTCATTGGTGTTGTTGAAATAATAAAAAACTATTTCTTTAATATACAGTTTACTACATAAATATTAATGAATRCTGTAATATTTGTGGAATTGTGTGACACCCATCATAACATTAATAACAAACATTTTAAAATCATATTGCATTATTGTATAATATCCATCTCTTGTATAAGATGTACTACAGTTACAAATAAATTTTAAAAATCACTATACGAATAACTATGTTGATCTATGTTAAATTATAATACACGTAAATTTAAAATTAAATTATACAGGTATTATAGTTAATATTGAAACTTTATAGTATGAAATAATTTCAAAACCAACTATGTATTGATTTTTTTTTATTTAAAGCACTTGGAATATGACTGGTTTACAGTTTACATGATAAACCAATTAAAATCAAAATTATGATTTTCTCCATACTATATATAGTATATTATAACTGAAGTCTAAAATTCGATGTTTGTGACAATCGCACAAATAGCATATTAATTTCACCCTAATGACCAATTGGATTAATAATCAAGTTATACGAGTGAAAATAATTAGAAAACGTTTCTAACCCTCAAAACGATAATGTTTCAACTGTATGAGTTAATATTATTCATATATACCAATACGATACACAAAACATTACACTTACGTAACGAAATATTATAAACCTATACTGCCAACTATTAATCATTTTTTTTTAAATTCACGGTTTCATCTTTATTCTATTTTATTTATTTGTCATTTTTTCTTCAAAACAGTTTACATAGAATTGAACAGTAATGAGTACTAATGACATTTACACAACCGTTTGATCGACAATTATTTTCGAGATGTTGGCTAACTAAATTCATATTTCTATAATGATCAATTATATAATATATAATTACCTCATTGGAGTAGCGCACTGTTGGTAAGCTGACCATATGATATCCTATCGCGTAGTCCAAGAGAAACCCTCTGCGCCACACTTCCACCAACAGACCTGTATTGACGTCGTTCGTTTCACTATACACATTAGATAGAGAACATATGTTAATCAAAATATAATAGTTATGCAAGGATGGGATAAGGAAAATAATAAGGTATCAAGGTTTGGATTTTAGAAAAAATAGTTTACCTTTTTTCAACAATGCCTTACTATTGAAGGTCATTGATTACGTTTAATATCTATTTATTTCATACTATATTTCTTGAAAATGTATTATAAACTTTTAAAAAATATTTCAGTTAGTTCAAATGTTAATCAAAAAAATATAAATTATGAGTTATGAATTTACAACATATAGATACGTAGTATAATATACGTGTTCTATACTGTATGATAAATTTAATAAATAAATATTAAACTGATATCACTATATTATAGAATATAAGTAATCCTACTTTCAAACGATCAATGCAACATAACCTTTGATTAAATTTAAACATTCTCATGCTTAAATCATAATAGTGTTATTAATGTTATTAATTTGTATAACCATTATTATGATCTAAACATGTTTAGTGCTTATTAAACAAAATGTATTTATTGAAAAAATTAATCTTACAATAGAAAGTCTTGTTGCCAACAAGGATTTGCTCCTTTGACTGTGACAGTAGTACACTTAACATTTTGTAGTTTTAACGTGGCATATGTGCTGAATTGTGGCGCTAAAAAAAACCAAATCAATATTTTTATTCGTTCAACATTACGTTATTATTAGGTAATAAAAATGTGTGCTCTTACAACACATTTATGTAGCAAAATTGCATAAACACAACGCCGCGTTACTAGTTTTATTCATAATTTATTACCACAATTATTAGTTAATTTTATTATAAACTAAAAATTGATTGATAACTGTGCGTATTTATTCTTTCAGTATTTAATTCACATTTTCTATTTCCTATGGTCATAAGTATACATTTTACTGTACATTATACAATATAGAAGAAGAGAATGAAAGAAAATGTTTGTATGAATCGTGACTGTTCGGTTAAGTTTTATGTTAGTACGGATAATTTGGCGAAATAATGGTAAACAATATAACGCATTAAGTTAGCAAAAAAAATCATAAACGGCCGTATATCTGAACCTAAATTTACAAACTTCTAAAGCTGTCAGGTCATCAATCTCATTGTGTCAATGAAAAAAATCCATGCGGCGTTGCAATAATAGCATAATAAAATTGTGTCAATGTAAAAAAAATTATATTCTTAGTACTCACCTTGGTCTCCAACATAACGAGCCATTTTTACTGAAAAAAATAAATAACGGAAAACAATTTTAAAATGCATCTAAACAATTTAAAATTGAAAAAAATGTTAAGTTTAATGCATTTTCTTTAGGATAACTTGGATAACGAAACGGCATATCACTATCAAAACTAATGAGATTTTGTAATTTTAATTTATACGTGGGTTGAATTTAAAATTATGGTTACACCACAGGATGGTTGAAGGATTAATGTTGCTTAGAGCAGCTAGACAAGGGTAAAGGGTTAATTGACTGAACTGAAATGAAACATGTTTGAAAAACATTCTGTATATTACGTTACCTTTAACGTTGAGGAGGGACATATTTGTGTCAGCTACGATGTTTTCTGATTATGAACAAGGACCTAAAATAAAAAGAAAAACAAGTTTGTATTTATTTATATATGTACATACATTTAACATGGGTTTTTTGTGTACCATTATTACATGCATACAAATTAAAAATACAAATAAATTCGCGAAATTCGTTGGATTCTTTAGAAACCATTAAAACTTTAAAGCATTTGAAAGTAGTTGGAAAAAAATTAAAAGTAATACCTAACTTAACTTTAAAGCTTTAGAGATTTGTTGGCTTCAAATAAGAACTTCCTTACGTTTTTTTTCCCCAAGTGTGTGTTATAACTTTTATAAGATTAATTTTCATATAATGCAAACAAAATTAATTATCTATGTTCCGAAAACCTTTAATTTTGACAACTTGTATAAGCAGTAAATGAGTTTCCCTTTCTAAATTACCATAGAAAATAAATTATGTTTAATGCGGAGTATTCTAGTCTTTCTATAATTTAATAATCCATTACCGGTCCAAACATAATATGGCATATTTTATTAAATACAGATCATATTTTATAATTATAAATTAAATGTAAACATATAGTAGACAAAAAATTAAACTTGGTAAAGCACGTCAAAATGTATAAACTATTAATTATAATTGTCAACATAATTATATATTCTGTTGACTAATATGAGTTTTATATGGTATACGTATAGATATTTTTTATATATATTAATCCAAATACTATAGAAGCTGTGAGCATTAGCATAGTATATACATATTTTTAAATGTATTTAAGTTAAATACTTCTAATATTATTATTTAAATTACAGCAGTATACTTAATGTATTTTGACGAATGGTATGATTAAATTGATAGTATCAGTTCATCACCCAGTCAAATTTAATATGGGTATAAGTATTAGGTAATAAAAGCATGGTTACGTGAATTATTTCAAAACATGGCAACTTCATAGAAGACCAGAAGATCGTAAGAATCTAAATTTCTTTACCAAAAAAGTCAAATTTCTACCTACTCGAAGAACATAGAATAAACTCACATCAAAAATATTTATTTTAAATACATCTCGCTGATTCTAATTTTTGGTTAGTGGCCGAAAGATTAATTAAACCCAATGACAACAAAATTCCGACTTTAAAATCCGGAAACAACTTTATAAATACAGTGCATGAAAAATGCAATTTGTTTGCTTCCACTTTAGAAAATATATTTATACTTAACGTCCTAAATGATAATGCAACTAATAATTTGGTGTCTCAGAAACTAAGCGAGCCTGAAATTTTACCGCAAAATATTTTTCCATACACTAATAAAAATACATTTTGAACAAAAATATAAAATGAATTGTTAAAATCGTTAATAAAAGATGTCAAGTTTCGAGTGCAGCTCGAAAATAAAAATTATCAAATATTCAAGCTATTTTTATATTTTAATTTTAATTTTTTTTTAAAGTTAATGTTCATTATATTTTTTCAATGATAATTTTGTAGTAATAATAAGTCAAATATAAACAATTACTTTGTTTATATTATTTTTATAAATATTTTTGATAATAGTAGTTATAATAAAAGTAATTTCATAATATATTAAGTCACATTTAAATAAATGGATTTTGTATGTATTTTTGCCTTAATTTTGCCTTTAGTTTCTAATGTATAAGTATAAAAATGACACTTAAAATTTGGCACGCGAATTTTTTTTGAAAAAATATATAGCCCGTAGGTAATTTGAGTTTGATATCACTGTTAGTGACTAACCCGACAGAAATTTTAGAAATAATAAAAAAATTACCAAACCGTAAATCACCCGGTCATGACCAAATTACTAACTCTATATTAAATAAGCTAGGTAACTAGTAAAGCAGTTCTATTTATGACAGTGTTATTCAATGCCCTGTTAAAATTGAGCTACTTTCTCACAAATTGGAAATTGGCCACTATAATAATGATAAAAAACCTGGCAAAAATAATACTGACCCATAAAATTACAGGCCCATCAGTTTATTATCGTCTGTTTCAAAAATTTTCGAACAAACTATCCACACCAGGCTTATTATTAGTCATTTAAATGCAACTGACGCAATTCTTCATTGTCAATTTGGTTATAAACCAAACCACTCCACAACTCAACAACTTCTACGTATTACTGAGCATATAAGTAACGGGTTCGAAAAAAAGAACACACTGGAGCGGCCTTCCTTGACATAACTAAAGCGTTCGATAAGTTCTGGCATGATGAACTACTTTATAAATTAAAATACCTTAACACAACCACTGTTATCTTMAACATCATCAAATCTTTTTTGTTCTACCGTTTAACCGTAGTTTCACCGTTCAAATAGATGGCACAAACTCGGACGTCAAACAAATTAATGCATGAGTACCACAAGGCTCAAAAATATCTCAAATACTTTTTAACCTTTACATATCAGATTTTCCTTCATCGACGAACACGGAAATAGTCCTATATACGGACGATAAGTATCATTAACTCTAGTTCCGTTAAAATCTAAAATGTAACAGAAACATCCAAACTCATCTTGATGAAATACAAAAATGGGCGAAAAAAAATGGAAAATCATTCTCAATCTGACTAAAAGCACAGCAGTTGTTTTCACACTTCGTAGACCCATTAATTTTAATTCCTTAAAAATCAACGGACAAAACATATACCATGGTCTCATAACATAAAACATCTTGAAGTTATTTTGGACAAAAAACTCCTTCGGAACCCTCATATATCCTCCAAAATACAACAAGGATATCAACGATTAAAAATTGTATACCCATTAATAGATCAGCAAAACATCATTGAGCTGAAAGTGTTCATTACTACTATACAAACAAATCATTCGTTCTCCATTACTATACGCGGTCCCTGTCTGGGGTCAATGTGCTTCAACTCACATAAATAAAATCCAAGTACTTCAATCCAAAGTTCTCCGTGTGATTTCAAATGTCCCATGGTTTGTTCAAAACGATGCGCTGCACGCCTGCACACCGACTTCAATTTACCAACAATTAAGAACTACATAAAATATCTATCGGCAAGCTTCTTCTGTCATCTACGCAAAGCAAGCGGTCCACAACATTTCAGGTTAAATGTCGACCACTTCAATCGAAGACTAGTCCTAAATTAGATTATCTTCAATGAAAATACTATTGTAGATCGTTCATCGCTTGTAACACTATCTTAAATCTATTAATGTATATCGCTAATTTGTTAACCTAGTTATCTACTACATATTATATTATGTTAATATCATTTTTATAAATAGCTAAAAATGTTGTACATTATACCAAAGTTTAGATGACTTTGTCTGGAAAACATTATAAAAAAAAAAATAAAAAAAATTAATAACATGAATTTCTACTCAATCAGTTTTGTCAATCAAGTAGTCGAGTATATCGGGTATATTAATATAAAGTGATACTAGTGATATTACCAAACATAATATAAAATCATTTATCAATATTTTTATCGAAGTTTTGGTTTTACATTAATATCTGAACGTAATTCCAATGGTAGATCATAAATAGCCAAAAGCTATTATATTCAAATGACTGAAGGTTGAAAGTCTCAAAGCTATCTCATTTGAAGGGTTAAGACCGTAAAGATTCGACTGAAATGGTGTTCGATTTTCAGTGTAACAAAAACGGKTTTTCATTCGAACCCGTACAAATGTAAAGCAATATTTCATAACATTATTTTCTTTCAAACCAAAATATAAGTACACGTTAAGTTAAGATAATATGTTTAATCCATGATTCACGGTATAAATATTGAATATGAATACAATACAACATATACATAGTTACTTTGCTATTAAAGTTAAGGTTAATGAAGGGATATTTAACATACTTATTTGAATAGTAACACTAAATCATAAAAATGATCTTTATAAAAAATATGGTTGCGCAATATTTATGATGAATACATGACACGATTCAAAATTAATCAAAATTATTGTTGTTATTAATGGTAAAAATATATCAAATGATATTCTAATATTAKGTATTTAGATATTGAACTATGTAGAAAATCTTCATACTACTTAGGTACCTAATCAAGTAAATAATATTATTTAGGTACCAATTAAAATAAATATTGGGTAATGCTGACCAAATAAAAATTATGCTTTGTAATAATTATAATTAATATGACATAATTCATAACATACACGTTTAAACTAGTTTTAAACCATCTGATGAACGGCATCACGAATTAAATTTTCAATAATTTAGTGATATTATTTTTTATCGTAATATGAATACACGAACTCGTGTAAATAGCAATTGTATGAAAACTCGCTGAAACTCGTTGCATTTAAATAAACAAAACGTGTACCTACGTATTTATTTATCACTGCTCAGCACCAGAGAACTACATAGTAAAAATATGCGATTGTTTTCAATAGGTATACGATTTGCAGAATAATATATTATAATGACGCAGGTAATCGTGGCGGGAATCATACTCGTACGTTATTTAATTCTCGATAAAATATTACTTATGTCTTGTAAACAATGTAATTACTAATTATATTATTATAATAATATGTGGTTATCGTTGGTGTTTCGCGGTTGCTGGTCGTACAATTATTAACGGATGCAGTAAACTTCCGAGCAGCTATTGCCTATTATGTATTTATTTTCGTAATTATTATTATTCCCGTTATACGTATTGCAGCAACATTTGGAGGTAGGTGCACTTAGTATACGAACTCATATTCTGTTTCGTCGGATATATATAAGCCGTCGAATCTACCGCGGTTGCACCTCAATTAACGGTCTGCAGCGAGATTGCRAGTGGGTCGGTCGCGTGGGTGAAGAACGAATGAGTATTATGGGCAGTTTGGAAACCGTAAAATGAACACGCGGGCGGAGCGCAACGTCGTCCGCACGGTGTTCTAACTTTAATGCGAATAGTTGGGGGTAGGTACATAATAATGTTACACATACAGACGTCGTCGTCGTGGTGCGTTTGCGGCCCGATCGGGATGATAAGAGAGTGTAGCCCCTCCACCACTCCCCCACTCCTACCACC